AAGGCACAGTTCACGATAATTTTGGGTAATCCAGATTATGTTGAAAAATGGAAGACAAGGTCGAAAATACTGCGATGAAAATGGAGAAACTGCGTGAGTCGGTGTTTCCAAAGTGAAAAAAAGGCTTCGAAGAACCATTAAAAGGGAGGCTGGACGAGAATGAGACCAGAAAAATGAAGGAGAGTGGGGCGTTTGGACGAGCTACGCACGGCGCGTCATTGGGTACGTGCGGGTCCTGGTACGAATCTTAGACTAAGGTAAGCAAAAATTCATTCACTTATAAGCATAAGTAAACAAACAAAACCCTAGTAACAGCAAAAGAAGCTCACCTTTTTTAGCGTCTGGAAATAGGAAATTAAATAAGGCATCGCGGCAGCAAAAAGAATAAGAGAGGAAAAAAGGATGGGAGAAGAACACTGCCTCACCACTCGGCGACCAGCTGATTGTGTGTGGGTCCTAGAACGAATAGCTGCAAACTGTATTGTCTCGACACTCGTCTGACGTGATGACGTGACATCGACCGAGAGGCGGGAATGCCATTGATGTTCCCGCCCATTGGTTTATCGTGAACTGTGCCTTCAACTTGCGATTAGGTGGAACCGAAGAAGATTCGAGGAGAGCGATGAACACGAGTAAACCCAACGCAAGGACAATGGATGTGAAGATCGAATGGGAGACTTACGACAATTGAGCCCTGTGTAGAAATATATCGGGGTCGATCACTAAGACTCCATGTCCCAGGAACGTTGTAGAGATCTTGGTGGAAAATATTCCGTATTTTCCTCGTATTGAGGAAGGCCCAAGAAAAGGACCACATGCTGTTCTTCCTGCAGGAAGTAGGCAACACGAAGTGCGAGTTGCTCGCATCGCTCCTGCAGGGTCGAGAGTTGGAGGAAGGGGGACTGAAAGTTCTTCGATAAGTCAAAGCAGAGCGGCAGAGCGTTTTGGGTTCATGTCGGATGTCCAGAAGCCGGCACAAGCTCTGCATAAGTACTACCCAGAGCTGTGGGAGGCAGCGAATATATGCAATTTCGAGAAATGTCGAAAACCACCGGGATGCCTTGATAAGGGTTGTTTTTATCGGAGGGTCTTTCTCGGTGGAGGCGAGGAAGCGTTTGTTGGGGAGAGAAAACCTGACATAGAAGAGGGTGTTGGAACTTTGTTAACTTATGCTTGCGGTCAGCTATTTGCACCAGGACTCACCCGTGCGCAATGACTCTCATTGTATAGCATGATTTGACGTCTTACACTGTTGCAAACCTTATGTCCACATGAGGTTTTTGAAGTTCTTCCATCATAGTTCTAAGTGTAATGAAATTTCTAGTGTTTAGAGTTGAAATCAGTTTAGCTGAGTCCGGTTAAAAGGTCTGCCCTAACCTATTTAGTCTGGGTAGCATACGGCGAATGAGTGGAGGTGCCAAGTGACCTTATTCAGAACTATGTTATGCACTCAGCATCTGTCGTTTTGACGTTAATCTGTTGAGAGAAATCGAGTTTTGCCTCAGTCGAAGCGTGCAATATCCTCATAATCGAAGTCTCTAATTGTAAAGGAAGTATCGCTTACGTACAGTACTATGCACAACTCAACTCTAACTACGGTTCGAATACAGCCGCTTAAGAGGGTTAGAGCGATAGCAGTGAATATATTATAAAGAGTGATCAATGCGTTTCTCACATTTTTTTTTGTGTTCAGGGTCCCTCATGAACCTCCATATTGGTCTACGGCNGAATACAGCCGCTTAAGAGGGTTAGAGCGATAGCAGTGAATATATTATAAAGAGTGATCAATGCGTTTCTCACATTTTTTTTTTGTGTTCAGGGTCCCTCATGAACCTCCATATTGGTCTACGGCTTTTCTGTCAATTCAATATTGTATTGATAGTCTCTTTATCGAGGTCTATTTGCTAAATAACTTATAAGTTACATGTTTTTATATGTTCTTTTGATCAAGCGTTTCGTCCAGGCTTCCTCTGCGAAGATCACCATTCCACCAAAACTACGCCTAAGACGAATGCCTCTAGGATCGTACAGTTTAAATGGTATTGCAGTTTTCCTAGCAGTCTCTTCGTATGCCTGGGGTCTCTGTGTTTTCATACTAGTCATCCATACAACAAGAGAGATAGTCAGTGACAAGAGCACGGTGAAGGTCAGTTGCATGGGAATTTTGAAAGTTTGATATTCTACAAGCACATTCAGGAATATCTATCTGTAATGGGTCTTTCGGCTCCCGTGTTTTATCTCTCGCATGTGCTTTATGCCACCGGGAAGTGCTTTATCATATTTTCGATATGCATTACTCCACTAACCTTTCATCTAGAAGTATGTGCTAATACTGACAAACTTATGTTTAGTTTTTCATAACCTCTATTCCCTATTTGTTCCATTGTTCTCCTCTACTGGAACACGCAGTGGTATTAGCGCATACCTGATAAGAATAGGTAGTCATTTGTTTTTCATGTTAGAACTCATTTCCCTATCGCTTATGGTTAGCTGTTCCTGGACTCGGGGCGTTTGCTCGACGAATAAGATAAGGCATGCTGTCGTTTGAAATGGTGTTTCCTGCCTACGTCTGAATGAGTGCAGCAAAGTTGGACTGAGAACGGTACTTACGTGCGTCCGAGCTGTGCACGGCAACTTGTGCGGCGAAGTTCGTGACGATTTGTACGACTTTGACGCCAGTATTCGGGGCACAAACTCGAAGTGGAGTAGTTTAGTAGGGTCAGATGATAATTGTTATCTACTCGACTTCAAATTTGGCCCCCAATGGTAGGCGCTAATATCGTTCAAGACGTCACAAGTGCCGCGCAATTTGCCGCGCGCATCCTCGGACGCACGTATGTACACATACACAAGTTGGACAGATAAGTCGCTGTGGTCTTTGGGTGAGAAGTTTGCCATATTTTACCCTTGCCAATTGTACGAAAGCTGCAAATGTAAAAAAAGGTAAGCGCTGCAATAGTCGTTCAAGTGAGCATTGCCTGTGATGGCGCTCAAGCAGTTTCTAGCTTACTGGAAGGTTTGTTTAATGATAAATAATAGGTCCTCTTCAGTTGTAATTAGCAATTTGAGGATCCCCTTTGTGAAGTTTCTTTCTAATCTTTTTCTTTCAGCCTTTAAGCGTCTCACTATTTCTCGTCACAATAGCACTATATGGAGTATCGGCGGTTGTATTTGCAGCGCTTATATCCTCTCTCTTCAAGACGCCAAACACTGCTCTCAAAGGTTCTTTTCACTTAATTTGGTGGATCCTTTTCACCCAAATACCTCTGAATAGATCTTTACTTTGACCAATTAATTTCATTCCAAGTATTCGCCTTACCCAGAAGTCTAAGTCAAGATGGGCCGATTTCATGCCCGCTAAGGGCAATGTATTACGGGAGATGAATGTGTTTTTTTATCAGCGGCGATATTACGTTGTTTTATTGCTGTGAGAAAAGTGAGAGAGCTCACCAGCCAACCAATTAAGGGAGGTCACCCCACAGGCGAGTGAGTGGATGGGCGAGGGAGGTGGGAAGTGATTACAATTGGACGCAAATTGACTCACCCCTTTGTAGCGAGGAGGGAGCCAGTGGTAAGCCGGCTGTCGACTGGTAATTAATAGTTCCAAACTGCGGCCAATGCTCTACAGGAATTTCGTGTCGAATTGGTTAGAGGCGGCCGTTTCCTCTATTACTGTATTATATTATATTGCCACATATTTATACTTGGGTGGCAAAGTCCAGATTTAAGTAATTGGCATATCCTTAAAATAACTATCCTTCGTCTCCTTGTCATAATAATTACACACACGCGATTACACTGTTACATAATGCCCCACTTCTATAGCAAAAGCTATTCAACGATAGACGGCCAGTTGAATCGGTTTTGTAATAAGTTCGCAGCAGGCGGCAGTCGCGTACTAGTTGCCTCTTTATTGAAGGTCTTTTTTAATACAGCCAGATCAATATGCGATTATTATTTTTTGCATGACTCCACTGTTACTTTTTTGCTCCTGTGTTTCCTTTTCCGCTGCCCCGTTTCTGCTTTTCTTCATTCTGCTACATTGCTTATTGCACAACGTCGCTCTCGCCACCAAGCCAACATTTCGATTAAACTGAAGCTCACACCAATTCAGCAGACCTTGGATCACCCTCAGTGGGAATTCTGTTTTGTGTTTTGGTGTGTTGTGTTTTTTTTTCAATTTTGGTCAAGAGGTGAATAGTTTTTTACGTCGCTCTCTGCCAGCCCAATCGACCGAGCGCTTTCAGAGTCCAATGACGTGTGTCGAAAACGCTAGATACAGCGCTGCACATCGTCTGTTGAGATTGCTGGAAACGACTGCATTTATTATATCTTGGGACAGGCTAAGAATACATTGCAGCTATCTAACTTGTTTGCTAAGCGGTTTGAAGGCGGTTAATTGATCGCGATATGGCTCATATTGGTTTCTAGGGATAAACAACAAAGGGGTACTTACCTGTGATCAGTTGGCGCAATATACCACCATAGCTCTGTCTGTGGTCAGTACCCCTTTGTGGTTACATCGCTAATTTCATAGGCTTGAACGAAATACGCAGTCAAACTTCAGAACATGCCTTAAATTTAGCTGACCCAGAATCGAGCTTTTTCATTATGAACTACCATCTCCGTGAAAAAATTGCTTCATATGTGTGCTTCAATAAAAAAACTTTCAAAAATTCTCCTTCAAACCGGTTTATGACAAGAAAATAGTGCGAGTTCGCGTTTTTATTGAATATGCGATTCCTTATCACCATCCTTTCAGAACACGGAAGAGTCCTACCTTGACTTCGAGTGCATGTGTAGGCTCGTTGGATGGGTATGGGGACTTCCCCTAAAAATTGCGTCGCGCTCGCTGCACCGGATCATGCGCAATCGCGCGTGAAAGGAGGGGTTTGAATTTCCAGTGGAGGGATACGGTAGCCACCGCGCAATCGGAGAACGTCCGTTGCGCGCGTCCGTCGAAAGTAAGTCATCCCGCCCACCGCGCAATCGCCTCGCTTGCCGTGTTAACTGAGGGAAGAACCATCACCCTCGTTTAATCATGGCACAGAGATGGGTGATGATCACCACTTTCATTACTCTTGGGTTACCGGCGTTCAATAACCAATGTCAGGAATGAAGGATATAGGGAACTTGTGGGAAAAGCCGGTGCATTACAGTGGCGTATAAATTTTATTATATGGTCAAATGAATTTCACGATAGATAATCTGGCGAAAAACCAGCTACGGCTAAACGTTTGGCATGTATCTTGAAATGCTATAGTGTAATCTGCGTACGTTAGTTAATGCTTCCTCTACATGATATTTCAGTGGTAATCGTATTGTGGGTTATATTGGTTGCCGCACGCTCCATAGCTCCACGAGTCGACCAGATTCTCTTCTGTGTCCTATATTCACTGAACCCGAATGCGGCTCTCTACTATATTCTTAAGACAATTGCTGACCACAAACATAGCGGCAAGTGAATTAACTATACTTGAAGTGTGCCTTTTGGGATGTGACCATAATTTTAGAAGTCGAATTGTCGTGGTCTAAGAGCTTTGAAGGTTTCACACTCCGTTTCACCCCTGGGGCCGCGTTAGTAATGCTGCTGGTGGATGTAATCTGGATGAGCATGGCAACACTGCTGTTTGATTTCATGTTCAGTGATAGCGACTTCACGCTTTTCAAACTACCGTACCGCAAGAAGGTTGTTTCACGTTATTGTTTTCTTGCCTTTTCAATGTTTTCTTAACCGTACTGTTCGATCAATACTTTTTTGAGTAGGATCACACTCCATCATTATTTTCAGTACCTGGGTGGGTTTGACATTAATCCGGAGCAAAATGATAGTAAAAAAGAGATCGACGAAGGATTGTTGAAAACACAAGCAGGTATTTCGGTGCAGCGCCTTGTCAAGGTAAGGCTTGATGTTTCGTAGCATTTTTAAAGTTCAATTTTTTTGGGGTTTTTTTTCCAATCTTCAAAAAATTTTCAAGTTCTGTGTGGAAATGCTTAGGAATGTTTGGTGCTTACGGCTTCTTCTCCTGACGGCTTGAAAGTAATTAATAGGTGTCAATGGTTTTTCATTCTGGTTTCATCCTCATATTTCTTTCAGATCAGGGTTGGAATTTTCGCGAAATTCAAGGTTTTTCCAGTAATGTTCCATGGAATACTATGAATGGTCCTTACTCTCTTCCGTGTTCGCATAACAAATACGGAGGTTGATGCGTTCACACTCAAATCAAGGCTCATCCTCCATCTTTTTTCAGATTTTACTGTGATGGAATGGTCTGCAAAGAACTGCCACAAGAGGCTTTGGGGGTCAAAGTTTGACACAGGGTTCGATTGTGTTCAGCAATAGTGTTCACCGGTCGGGGATCGGAAATACTTCGGCCATCTTAAGGTCAATAAATAATGAAGATTAAGCAGATTATGGTATGCGCATACAAGTGGGTAGTGCCCTCATCAATAGTTCATTCAAAATGTCAATAAGGCACTTTATGAAAACCTGCAGTCAGTTCGTGCTTCTTGTTCGGATCAATCTCCAGTTGTCGACGTGTCATACATGCTGATATCTTTCGAGTTCACGCATCTGTGTCCACAAATTTCAGCTAGTCGATTGAGAAGATCTGGGTGCAGATATTGTGAACTTGTCTGACAGTAATAACCGATGAGTTTCTCTTGAGATTTGATTACGATTACACGTAGCCCACAACATAAGATCGACTTGATGTCATTGGAACACATCAACGTTGATCTGACAGCAATGACGCCTGCATTATCTTGCGAAATGACAAACTTTTGCAATCGCCACCGTTCACTGAATGGCAACAATTATCACCCGTGTATCTTCTTGATCCTCTCACAAATCCATTCATTGAAAGCGATAGCAGCTCTATCGTTTTGTTCCAACAGTATGCCCTTCAGGCCGTCTGCTAACCGCTGCTGATGCACTCACGGCTAAACTGCAGCAGTCTTTTTTCAATTTTCGACAGCTGCATCGAAGAATACCGGGCACATTCAAGTTGAACTTTTCGTCGAAAAGGACTACATTAACGGGTTCACTCTGCAGTTTGAAGGCACCGCTGTTTTCACAATATCATCTGCTTCCAATCTATCGAAACGTTTTTTCGAGCAAATTGAAAGGCACAGTTCACGATAATTTTGGGTGTCCCAGATTATGACGAAAAATGAAAGATGAGATGGAAAATAGTGCGATGCAGGCGAAGGATTTGCGTGGGTCGGTGTTTCCTAAGTGAAAGAAGGCTTCAAAAAATCGTTTAAAAAGAGGCTGGACGACAATGAGACCAAAAGAATGAAGAAGAGTGGGGTGTTTGGACGAGCTACGCACAGCGCTCATTGCGTATGGGTCCTGGTACAAATATCTGACTACGGTAAGCAAAAATTCATCCGCTTGTAAACATAAGTAAACAGAAAAACTAGTTACAGCAAAAATGGCTCACATTTTACATCCTTTTGGGGTAGGAACTTAAAAAAGGGATGGCGACAGCAAAAAGAATAACGTAGCAAAAAAATAGCATAAATCAAAAATAGAATGGAAGAAAAACATCGCCTCATCACTGGACGATCGGCTGATTGTATATGGTTCCTACGAATGATTGCAATCTGTATTGCCTCAACACTCGTCTGACCTGTCATCGATCGAGAGGTGGTAAAGCGAATCAAGACAGCAACAGGGCTTCCACTATGCCCTGACCGTCGAAATTATGAGAGCGAGAGGGACCCCCACCCATGGGGACCACTGAGTATTCCTAAGGGAACCATTAATATCGTGAACCGTGCCTTTAACGACGAGCGATTTGTGAACGGCCGTCAGCAGTGACGCTCTCTTCATAGCTTCTCTAACAGTGTTTCTGTTGCGTCTGATCACCCTCCAGACTATCGGTTTAGCTCTAAGTTGCCTTCAGTTTGTTTGTGACATGCCCCTGCACTCGGCTTTTATTCAGAAACATACTTGCGTTTTGAACGCGCAGGTACACCAGGCAACTTCTTGCCATGGCAGTTCGATGTAGATAGATGTACAATTCAGTGCTTTCATCCTTACAGACTAGTGCTACTAATGAGCCTACACACGAGAGTCGGGAGACAAGCTTGATGGATTGAGCATTTCGGTCTTGAGCTCAATCACCCCACAAGTGATATTGCACCTTTCATCAGCCACTTCGTAACCGCACGAGTTTGGCTTTTCCATCCATTTCGCTATGGCAGAGTGAAGTATTCTGGAGATTTATACTGTCTGACAGCTAACTCAACCTTTGCGAACCCATTCCAATGTGCATTTTTACGTGGTGCGCCCGGGAGACCACGTTCCTCTCTTCCCT